CCCCCCCCCCCCCCCTCCCCCCCCACTCACCCACCCCCCACCCCCGTCTCTTTTTTCTTTCTCACTTCTGGGTTCAGAGATTCGAGATAAATATGAAGTCCGTTTGCTTTCAGATTGATAATTGTGCAATTTAAATGCACAGTCACCCTGTTACTGGGTGTAAAATTCTAAGCACAGACAAATTCTTGGCAACAAACTAAGGGATCAATTTTTAAATTACTACTCAAATGATACAAACAAAAGAAATCTATGTGGTCTAAGAATAGTCTTGTCTATCTAAAATTATCAAACATAAATTGAAACTTTTCTTATTTGGAAACCAAAACAATGCTTTGATATAATGCCACTTCCCAAGGCGTTGCCACGCAATACGTGGAGCACTTCATGTTGGTGACTCCATCATGCTGATGGAGGATGCTGCTGCTGAGTTACGACAGCAAACGTCCTCATGATATTATTATGTCCACACACGGTTATACATGCCTAACACACACATCAACTCATTAAGCTCCACGGTGACCTGGTGAGGCAGGGACTGTTGTCTCCACGTTACAGATGAGTGAACAGAGTCAGAGACAGGGACATGCTGAGGGGTGTGTGTTCAGTCAATAAGAGGGCTGGGATTTGAATCGAGGCAGTGACATTCCACAGTCCACCCCTTTATAGAATGCCCTTTGTCTAAGCCATGGTATCCCAACCACTAGACCACTAGGAATACAGCTTTATGTAACAAAGTGGCTTATTGACAATGAAGAGTTTCTTCCTGAAAATTAAAACTTTATAAGTAATTCTGCCCCCTAGATCGTGGTTCTACCACTCATAGGCAATTCTTTTCCACATTGAACCAGGGCCATCTTCTTTCACAGTAAGTTATTCACATTCAGAAGGAAAGTTTATTTTCACTCATCAGCATGACAGTGTATCACCGTGGTTCCCAACCTTCCTAATGCAGCGACCCTTTAATACAGTTCCTCATGTTGTGGTGACCCCCCAACCATAAAATTATTTTTGTTGCAACTTCATAGCTGTAATTTTGCCCCTGCTATGAATCGGGTGACCCCTGTGAAAGGATTGTTCAATCCCCAAAGGGGTCACGACCCACAGGTTGAGAAGCGCCGTATCACTTACTCTTTTAAAA